ACGGGGGGCGTGCGTCCTTTCAAGAGGTCAGTACAGACAGACCAACTCTAGGAGCTACTTCTCCGAAACTGCAAGTTTGGAGATTGTCTCTCCACCTCTCCGCCCCTGCCAGGAAGGTGCCTGGGACCGTCACCTTCTGATTCAGCTGTAGAACATGTCAGAAGGAGGCAGGAGGAAGAAGCCGGTGAACAGGGAAACATCACAGACTGTTGTCCCTGCGTGTTGAATTGTGACTCAGATCCCCTCGGCGTAATTTTAAGAGTTAAAAGTGCAAACTGGTTCTCCAGAGAGGCCGCCAACCCGAGGGCCACAGTCCAGTTGTGTAACTGTTTGCCCTGTGAACCGGCGGTAACCCTGTCGGTGCCAGGGCCTCAGGACTGGGATGCTGCCTCGCCGGGTCGAAGCAGGTTGGGAAGTGGCCGGTGGAGCAGTTACCTACCCCCACTTTCTTCAGCAGAGCACCAAGCTAAGCTGAGGAATTCCATTAGAGGGTGAGTGTTAGGGAACCTCAGGGCTTATTGAAAGTATATTATCTTTGGTAGTACCTAGGTCCCTTGGACAATTTTTGAGTTGAGAGAATATGGAATTTGAAACAGACAGGGAAACAGGGCCACAGGTGGTAACTGTTTTCTTGACTGTAAGCTTTAAGGGAGCAAATTGCCAGGTGTGACTGGTTGTATTTGAATCTCCAGCCTTTAGGTCAGTCAGGGAGTGCTTAACTGTTACACCACCAGGACACCTTAGAGCCATAGGAGTAAGAGGGCAAGGAAGGAACTCATTTACTGAGTGCCAGCTGTCTGCCAGGCAGTTTACAGTAAACTTAAACTCTTTAATGCTGATGAGTTGGGGAGGGGGTTGGGTTGGTGGTGGCTCTGAGAGATTGGAATCTTATTCAGATGGTGCATCTGGAATGAGAATCAGCTGGCACCGAATTCCTACCATGCCACAGACTCTCTTGCAGGGCTGTGTGGGACGCCGGTGTTTGGGGAAATGGCAGAAGGCATACTGCTATTTCTGGCGGAGGGTCCTGCCCGTAGTCAACGGTGGTTGTAAAGGAAATATGTTTGTGGGAATTGAGTGGGAGAATGCTCTCAGAAGCCCTTTTAGTAGAGTGACATATTGAGCCTGGTCCGAGTGCGTCTGGGTCCCCCTGGTCCTTCTTGGCCAGGCAGTAAGCCTAATCTTGGCACCTGGGTTGTTCCACATGGTACTACTGCCTTGGGCTTCCGATTACCGGTATTCCTAACCAATTCCTCGATATTCCTAACCAATTAGGTGCGACAGAGCCAGAGGTGGGTGGTGGTGGTTGTGTGTGTGTCAGATTTCAAGACTTGAGACTGCAGGGCACTTTCTTTTTATCTCATTTGTGGGTTCCTGTTCTGCCCTGGTGGTAGAGTGAACTACACATCGAGCGGCAAGGTCAGTGGTTCAAACCCATGAGTTGCTGCGCAGGAGAAAGATGAGGCTGCCTATTCCTGCAAAGATTTAAAATCTCAGAAACTCAGCTCTGTGGCAGCGAGTTTTCCCCCCTGGCTTTTGGTTCTCGGATGCATTACTTGATGACCTTCTGGGCCTTTTCCAGCACATCAGAGCAGTCACAGGTCCCTGGCCTGGACTGCCCATCTACAGAGAACTTGGACTTGCCACTGACACAAATCCAGCTCACCCGGGACTCAGTGGAGAGTCCCCTGTGAAAACTTAAGGAAGTTCATCACAAGTTTACATCTGCTAGCTCTTTTCCCGGTTGGTACTGGGTGGGGTTTTGAAACCCTGGGTGGGTGTGTGGGTGTATTCAGAGGAAAGAAATGTGAATCACAGGCCCCCAGCTTCCACTTCGCATATGCTAAGGGAAAGGGCCCGGTGGGGAAACAGGGAGGGAATTACCAGAGACTTCCCCTGATCCTGCCCTCCTCACCATCCCCAAAGCACAAGAGGTTAAGATTACAAGACGAGAAGCTACAACCTCCAACTCCTCTCCTGTCCTGTACCCAGTGCCAATCCCTACCCATAGGACTTGGAGAGATGTATTTGGGTGTCTGTGGTTTCCCTAAGCCCTCCTGGAAGCAGGTGCCTAGGGTGGAATTTCTTCCTTCGGTGGGTCCAGCAGTTCCTGCTTTGGGAGAGTAAGTTCCACCTGTGAGCCGGCTAAGAGTGAAGATCACTGGGCCCCACCTACTGAGTCAGACTCTGGGGTGGGGATCGGAGCCTTGTATCTAGCTTTTTAACCTGGGCATTCTGGCCCCACCAAAATCTGAGCCCTGGAGACTTTTCCCCTTACTTTATGGGTGTGGGTCAGTGCTAGGGGCTCACACCTGTAACTTGGTTCCAAGTCCCTCCTCAGGGTCATGCAACTCCAGGTGGCCAGTGCTCAAATGGCACTCCAGAAGTCCCTAGCTGGCTTCTGCTAAGGAGGTGTCTCCCCTCATAAAGCCAACCATTAACCAGGGAATGAGGACCAGAAGCACTGCTTAGGCGCATCTTGTATCTGGGCATTTACCTTGGACTTGCCCACGGTTCCATCTGGGTGTGGAGGGGGTTTGTCCCCCAAGGCTCCAGGTGGGTGGCCAGCATGTCCAATGTGACATGCAGGCCACACACCTGACCATATCCACTACCTGCCACAACGTTACCAAAGTGTTGTTGGCTAACTTGAGGGAGATTACAGTGGAGAAGAGAAAGGGGTCCATGTAGTCACAAAAATGACATTGTAGGCCAGACTTGAAAAACGGAGAGGGGCTGCTCTTCCCCTTCAGAATATTGTCTGTCACCCGCTGTGTCCAGCTTGGGTTCACAGGCGGTCTCTGACACCTGCTCAGGCAGAGGGTGGCCCTGCTTCGAGGGCCTAGTTCCAGGGTTGCCATCGGGGATGGGGAGTGAGTAATGTGGGGGGAAAGGGAGGCCAAAGCACACACAGCAGACCTTGGGGCACAGGTTTCTGGGTTATGGAGATGGGGGCGGGCAGTGTCTGATGGGGTGTGTACACCATGAACGGGAACATGTCCCTGCCCACTGGCTTTTCCCAGGCTCTGCTCTCACCTGGGAATATTTCCTTATATGGATCTTGAGGAGGAATCTATCCTGATGTATCGCTTGCATGTGGGCCCAGCATGCAGTCACATACGGTCTGAGAAGGCAGAGGGAATGGCGCTGTGAAGGCAGAGGTGGAGAGGGAGGTGATGTGGCCACGAGCCAATGAAGCTGGGAACCCTCCAAAAGCTAGGAAAGGCCTGGGAAGCTGACCCCCCTAGAACCTTGATTCAGGCTCTGGGCTCCAGGCCTCCGGAAGGACAGCTTTCTGTTGTTTTATACCACCAACTTCTGATCACTGGTGACTGTAGCCACAGGAAACTCAACCATGCATCAGCAGAGGAATAATCTTGACTGCATCCCTGGCCCCCACATCCCCCTCCACTCCTGGTGCACCCCCTTATTCTCCTCCACAGTAAACATCTCCAACAAGCCATCCAGTCTCACTGTCCCCTCTTCTGTTGTCACCACTATGCCACGGAAATTGCCCCTGTCAGCGCCTTTCTTTTGGCTGGACCTAGCAGTGACTTCCGGGACCTCACTGTGTGCGTCCTGTCAGCAGCTCTCTGGCAGACCTTCATAATGAACCAAGGTGCAGCCCGCACCTTGTTCTTCCTGCTCCCCTGCAGTTAATGGTCTTCACTGCAGCTGCCAGGCAGAATGGTTTAAAACCGGCGTTAGATCCTGTCGTTCCCCTGCTCCAAGCCCGCCACTGGCACCTAGTGTGGTTGGGTGCCGGCAAGAAGGTCCCAAGTCCTGGGGGCCCTGTGCCAACCAGAAGGAGACACCGCCCCTCCTGCACCCCCCGCTCAGTTGTTAGGTTTGAGCCCATGGTTGCAGCCACGGTGTCAATTCCTGTTGTCAACGCTTTCTTCTTTGTCACCCCTTGGTACCCAGAGCACGACAATCCAAACGTCTTACCCTGGCCTCGAGCTCCCGACTGGAACCCTTCCCTTGATCACACTGCTTAGCCACACGGACCCAACTTCTTATTCTTTTTCAGTTGTGGCAGAAAAGTACACAAAACCGTCTCTAATTCAACAACTTCTACATGCATGATTCAGTGCCACTGATTATGCGCTTCGGGCTCTACAACCATTACATCCTGTGCAAAGTGACAGCACCACTATCCACGTAAGCTCCGTGCCCCTACCCAACCTCTCTTCTTCTTTCATCCATCGTAACCGCTGGTCAGGTGTGGTTTCTATCTCTTTCTTCCTTTTCTTCTTAAGTAGTTTTCTCGATAAAGTATTCACATTCAAATTCTTTTTCCAACCATGGTGCCTAGCTTGAGGGAGGAGCTCCAATTAAAAATAGATATATTGTGGTCAAATGTGTATGTGGAAAACTTTGTCCCTTCATTTTAAAAGTGCAATCTATGACGTGAGTCACATTTACCATGGTGTGTACCCATCACCACTAACCAGTTCCAAAGCTTTTCATCATCCCAAACACCTCATTCCACTCCTTCCCCCTTTCCCAGCCCCTGGCAGCCACTAATAAGCCGTCATCTCTGTGCACCTGCCTGGCCCGCAGGCCCCCTCCCTGTGATGAAAGTGTGCACGACTGGCCAAAAGAGTGTGTACGGATCCCAGGGGAGAGCTGAGAGGATCGAGAGGACTCTCTAAATCAAGATGTGGGCCAGGGAGGGTCCAGGATGGCAGG